GACCGCATGCGCTTTGAGGCCCTCAGAGGCCGTCGTTTTGGAGTAACCCGGGACCGTCGTTCCGGGGGCGCGGGCGGCATTGGGAGCATGCCATCACCGGGGCAAACAGCGCACGCGTACAAGAGGCTTTTTGCTGCTCATCGGTGGAATCATAGAATCATCCAATGTCAGGGTTGGAAGGGGCCTCAGGACGTCATCTAGTCCAACCCCCTGCTCAAAGCAGGACCAATCCTCAAAGCAGGGTGCGGCTTTCCCAGCAGGGCACCAGCAGCTGGTTTCTCGGGGCAGACGGGGGTGCGTTCTGGGGACTCATTGGAGGCGTGAGGACAGCTGCGCGCTCTCTTTCTGGATTTCGCTGCCATCTCCTTAGACAGGATGTTAGAACGCAGGGTGACTAGGATGCTGATCAGGGACCAAACTTCCGGGATTACCCAGCAGGGAGTGCTCTTGCTGGTCAGGCCAGGATGGGTCCTGTTCACAGCTCCTTCAGCCATTCACCAGCAGCGGTAGTAGACTGTTATCTTCCAGATGGCACTAAAGGAATTGCTCCACTAGCCAGCAGCGGTAGTACAGCTGCTATCCTCTAGGTGGCACTAAAGGAGTCGATCCACTAGCCAGCAGCAGTAGTAGAGCTTGTATCCTCTAGGTGGCAATAAAGGAGTCTCTCCACCAGCCAGCAGGAGTAGTAGAGCTCTTACCCTCTAACACAACAAAGGGGGACATGAGGGAATCTTAGCCAGTGGGCTGGCCAGTCCCGTCTTTCCCAGAAGCCAATGGTGTGGCCCGAAATGGACCCCAGATGGGTGGTGATGGTGGTGGTGGGGGAGCCAGAGGGTAAGGCCAAATTTGGGGGGAGGGCAGCAGGACATTTGGGGCCACACTCCTCTCAGCCCCCCTTGCAGTGTCTGAATCATCTCAGACCCCGTCTGAAGTCCCGTCCAGTCCAGTGTCTCCCAGAGTCCTTTGCGCCCTCATCGGACCATGCGCCCTGGTGGGGAGGGGGGTGGTACTTGGCCTATTTGGGGGGCCTGGGGTGTGTGAGTCCTGATGGCTGGCAGAGGAGGCGGGGATGTTGTATTGGGAGGGCGTGGGGGGCGCAGACTGGCTGGGCCCCATTTGGTGGGCTGGGGGGCTGGCAAGGGGGGCGGGGTGGTTGAATTGGGAGGCGGGGGGGGGGGCGACCTGGCGGGTTGGGTGTCGGGCGGGGGGGAG